ACAAAACAGACGCTCAAACCAAGAAAATCTCCAGATAACGGGCCCTCACCTCACCCTAGCCATACGCACCTCACCCTGTCCACCCTGCCTGGTCATTCAGTTCTGGCTGCGTCTCTGACCTGCCTGCACCTGCACCACTACCTACCTCCCTTACCTGCACTTTTCCCTCACCTCCATCTCCACACCACACCAACTCTCCCGCCTGTTTTCTTGTGAAAACAACAACCCACTACGATCCTCACATCCGTGCATCCCATCCCCATCCACATTACGCGCTTTCCTCTTCTCCAAACGAATCCCTTCAACCAACAATCCCCCAGCAAGTCAACATGTCCGGCGATGTGAGTACCTCCCCTATTTCCCCCCTCCTATTGTGCCTGCCTGCCTGGCAGTCCCATTCCCCGTTCACCCCTCCTTATCACGGCCTTGCCGCGTGAGCCTCGTCGGCACCAGGCGCGGGCGCACACCTCGCCCAGTCGAAATCCCATCGCCTTGCCGTCGACCTCGTACCTTGTGCTGCCCTCTTTTGCACCACAAGGCCGTCTAATTCATCCACAAGGAAGACCATCTGCTAACCGGCCTTCTCTTACAGCGTGAGAGGTTTGTTGCGGAACCGCATCCCTCCCCTGAACTTCCATGTCCTTTGCCTGCCCCCGCCCCCCGCCCAATCCGCCGTGCTGACTGAATCTTCCCCCTGATAACAGCAAGACTTTCCTTGCTCGCCTCTGCGAGCAGGCCGAGCGTTACGATGAGATGGTCGGCTACATGAAGGAGGTCGCCAAGCTTGGCGGTGAGCTCACTGTTGACGAGCGCAACCTTCTCAGCGTCGCCTACAAGAACGTCGTCGGTACCCGCCGTGCCTCGTGGCGCATCATCTCCTCCATCGAGCAGAAGGAGGAGTCCAAGGGCTCTGACAAGCACGTCGGCACCATCCGCGAGTACCGCAACAAGATCGAGACCGAGCTCGAGCAGGTCTGCCAGGATGTCCTCGACGTCCTCGACGAGAGCCTCATCCCCAACGCCCAGACTGGCGAGTCCAAGGTCTTCTACCACAAGATGTACGTTGCACACCACCCCACTTTTCTCCTCGGCGGAATTTCTGGTCGTCATGCCCGACCGCCTTTTCCCGCCCCAGCCCTTGCTGACCGTGTCTGTCCTCCGTCAATAGGAAGGGTGACTACCACCGCTACCTCGCCGAGTTCGCCTCTGGCGACAAGCGTAAGGGTGCCGCCACTGCCGCCCACGAGGCCTACAAGGTGAGCAATGCCCCAATCCCGAGCCGTGCGACGTTGGCTCTTCGTCTTCTCTTGCTGACCCCGAACTCCCACAGTCCGCCACCGACGTCGCCCAGACTGAGCTGACCCCTACCCACCCCATCCGTCTCGGCCTTGCCCTGAACTTCTCCGTCTTCTACTACGAGATCCTCAACTCGCCCGACCGTGCTTGCCACCTCGCCAAGCAGGCCTTTGACGACGCCATTGCTGAGCTCGACTCGCTGTCCGAGGAGTCGTACCGTGACAGCACCCTCATCATGCAGCTTCTCCGCGACAACCTCACCCTCTGGACATCCTCCGACTCTGGTGAGGCCGAGGGCGCCCCCACCGGCCAGGCCGACGCTGTCGAGGAGAAGAAGGAGGAGCCCAAGGCCGATGCCGCCGCCCCCGCTCCCGCTGCCGAGGAGCCCAAGGCTGAGGAGCCTGCTCCCGCTGCCCCCTAAGTTTTGCTCTCTCGATACCACTTCTCTCGTCTTGGCTCAACCATCCCCAAGGTGAAATGATGACTCCGGTGGTCGTTCTGGGCTCCGCACGATGCCACAGAAGAAGGCGCCGAGCGGATCCTGGCAGAAGGCTAGCTGGTGATACATGCGATTCGTCTTTGGTACTCTCGGCAGGGGGCATGGAGTGATAGGTGTTTTCCGGACACGGCGGGGACTTGGGAGATGCGCTTGGCCGCATGGGTTTTGGTATGGGACCTCGCGGGGTTCTGGGACGTGGGAGGGAGGCATGGGACGTCACTCTGGGGAAACCTCACCTGCCGTTTGGCCAGGTGTCGTTGAATCAGCAGAAAGATGACCCGCGCTGCCCATTGCGTTTTTATCACATTCCCCCGCTCGCCTCGATATTTTCCCCTTTCCTTCCCAGCCCGAATAATCCACCTTGATTTCCCCTCAGCCCCCTTTTGCCCTGAGTGTCCTAGATTACGGCTCTCTCTTGATTTCTTGTTTCGGTTTTCCTACAGTGGTCCTCCAGTTGTCGCTCGGTCTCGCGAGGAGAGGAACGTGTTGCTCCATCCCCACCCCCCCCAAATGCCCATGTCCATTACGTCTCAAAGACAAAGAAAAAAACACAAAGTTCATTCATGTTGGGTTATTGGTGACGGTGATTACAATGTCATGTGTGGACGATGGGTAGATGCGTAGATGCGGCCAGGGCGGGTGGCAGACAAGCACGTGATGTGTGGTTTGATGCGTGGATTGGCTGCGAGACGGAAAGTGCACGACTGATGACGAGTACAAGGATCCTTGGTCGTTGAAGCGCAAGGAAATATGAAGAATGGCTTCCTTTCGACAGTGGGTAATTCCCTGAAGGATGACAGAGTAAAGTAGTTTTAAATCTCATAAATCATTATCGTATCGTGCCTTGGTCTACCACCTTTATGAAGTGACACTTCACGTCTAGCTTCTCTTCGAGCCCTTACTACAATGCTCGGTTCGACAAAACTACTACACCCCCTGCCTCTCCGCCCTCTCCTTCCTCTCCAGTAGCTCCCTCGCCCTCGACAGCCGAGCATCCCCCTCTCGCGCCCGCTTCACTTTCAACCCTTCCAGCCCGGCATTGTCAGGATTGGAGCCCGTCGACGCGCTGGAGGGGTTATACTCGGACCCGGCACGCCCCGCCGGCGCGCCGACGGCCGCGACAGCCGCGGCCGTGACGCGCGGCGTCTTCCTCCTGTCCGCCGACGGCGTGCCGGCCCTGCTGACGGGGTCATCGAATGCCTGCCTAGCTTGCCCGGCCTCATCTTTCGCAAATAGGACGACAACAAGATTTGCTTGATTCATAGGCGCGAAGAGTCCTGACCGTCTTGCGTCATGCCTCTTCGGTGCAGGGAACCGATTTAGCGTCTAGACCCACTGTAAATCCAGTGTGATGGTGTACTGCCTCTGTACAATTTCTGATTCC